AGGATTGGATCGTTCGTCAAGAGGGTTTTACACTTCTCAAAACTGTTAACATAATCGGGGTCAAAAGTGATCTTTTTTACCCTTTTTTTAGGCATTGTGTTAGGGGTTTTGTTATTTTTGCAAAATCAGGGATGAATTTCCGGTAATATCCTAATAGTCCTAAGAACTGCTTTATTTCCTTAGGGGATTTAGGCATAGGGTATTTTTCTATCGCTGCTATTTTGTCTGGGTTAGGCTTCACGCCCTCGCTGCTGATAATATGGCCTAAATAAGCCGTTTCTAACTTAAGGAACTCTGATTTGTCAATTTGCACTTTGAAATTGGAGTTCCCTAGTCTCTGGAAGACTTGTTCTAAGTTGACCATATGTTCTTGCAGCGACGTGCTGAATACTATTATATCGTCTAGGTACACCAAACAGAACTGGTTCTGGAGACCTTGGAGGATGTTATCCATCACTCTTTGGAATGTGGAGGGCGAGTTCTTCAGGCCAATGGGCATCTGAAGGAATTCGTAGTGGCCGTGTTCGACATTGAATGCCGTCTTTGGAATGTCAGCGGGGTCCATTTCTACTTGGTGAAAACCACTGGCGAGATCTAGAGTAGTAAAATATTGGCATTTACCCAGTTTGTCCAGAACGTCTGAGATATTCGGAATAGGGTATTTGTCATTAATAGTTTTTTCATTAAGTTTACGAAAATCTACCACTAGACGCCATTTCTTTTTCCCCGAGGCGTCTGCCTTTTTTGGGACAATCCAAATCGGTGAGGACCACGCGGACTCGGAAGGACGTATAATGCCGTGAGTTAACATTTTATTTATTTGATCACGTACCTCTTGTCGATGAACAAAAGGATATCGATAGCTCTTTGTGTATATAGGAATTTCATCGGTCGTACGGATGCGGTGTTTTATTTGATTCGTAAATGTTAAGTTTTCACCGTCGATATAGAATATGTCATGATATTTGGCACAGAGAGTCATCAGATTAGCCTTTTCTTCTTCGTTAAGGTGGTCAGTGCGAAGTCGCGATAAAACGTCTTTAGCGCGTTTGGTTATAGGCTGGGTGCGCGTGCACTCAACGTTAAACAGCTGTGCGTGAGCGGGACGGTCTAGGGAAAAAATAACGTCATTATTGCTAGTATTCTCGATCTTTAAAATAGCTCTATTTTGGGAAACGCTGGTTATGCATTCGTGAACGACGCAGTTACATAAAATTTGTTCGGGAATATAGACTTCACCATCACTACTGTCAACAGGAATTCTAACTAACTTTGAAGTGTTCGTAGAAATTATATCCTCGTACAGGTTCGCGTTTCGTGAATTATATAACAATATTGGGTTCAGTGCAGACAGAGTAGTTAAATGTAATGCTTTTAAATCGATCTTTGCTTCCCACTTAGTTAACAGATCGAGCCCAATTAACCCGTCGAAATGGTTGTGAAACTTATACACGAAAAACTTTATCGGTTCGCTATCGTTAATTTCCGGAAAACAGGGCCCCGTAATGGAATAATCATTTCGACTAACAGCGTGAACTGTATTAGTAACTTTGAAAGGATCATAGTTAAGTTGATAATTAGGGAAAAATCTTTCTACAGCATCCGGACTCAGAAATGATTGATTCGCTCCGGTATCGATGAGAAGGTTCAACGGAGGGTCTAATATCCGAATAAATGGTAGCTGACGCTGGGTCTGCAAATTAATTTCTATCTTGGCTTGTTTGAAGGGGAATCCTCGTGAAAATTTTCCTGTTGGTTAGTGGAGGGCTGAGGATCGTTTTCTGTATCATTGACGCTTGGATGATCGTTTATCGGAACGGACTCGGGACCGTAATTCTCGTGGCTTATATAATCATTATAGCTACTCGCGTAAGATGGACATTCGTAGTAATCCGCGTAATAGTTGTAGTCAGGCTCATAGTAATAGTTAGCATAGCCGTCACACTCGTTAAAATTCATTTCACGGCTTTTAAAGTAATTTGTAGGTGGTGGGTTACCGTGCTGGTTCCAATCATGGCCAGTTAATCGTCCTGTAGGAGGTTTTCCTGGCTGCGCGAGGCTGAATACGGAATACGTTACTACGTGGGTTATAATTCGGTGGTGGTGCACTGAATATTTGTTGAGTACGTGTTGGCATGCGGTACAGAGGCTGATGTTGAGGGCCCGCATTGAACTTAAATTGATTTTGCGGTTGAGTAAATTTAAATGGTTGAGGTTGAGGTGGCATCCACATCGGTCTCTGAGTAGCAGGTGCTAACATCAGAGGTGGAGGTTGGAAATTTTGCTTAGATTGAGAAGGCATTGGAATTTGTATTTGTGCTCTTAGAGACGGCTGGAGATTTTTAGGGTGTACATCATTATTACGCTGTTGCAAATATAGAATATTTAATTCCTCCTGAACAAATTTCAATGCCTGCTCTATTGTAGAAGGGCGCATACACCTTATTCTAGATCCTAAGGGCTCATGTAAGCCACGAACGAAAGCCTGCATAGTGAGCTTCTTATACAATGTCCGCTTAGACTCGATGGTGGTCGGGATAGTTTCGTGTAATGATATATATGTCATGATGGTACTAAAAAGAGTCTGACAGTGATCGTAAAACTCCTGAGGGCTTTTGTGGCCTTGCGAAGCTAAGGAAAGGTCTTTGTACAGCGCAGTTTCGTCTCTTTGATCTGCGAAGTTATTTATAAGAGATTCGCGAATCCCTAGCCAATTATCAGGGATGCCATTAGAATTTATGATTGAAGCCGCAGGTCCGGTGATTTTGTTCAAAATTCCGTTTAGTAAACATAAATTAGATAATTCACTACCGGCTTCAGAGCTCATGTAAGTTAATACAACCTGATCGCATATTTTAATAAATCTAGTAAGAATATTTGGATTACCATCGAAATCTGGCACTGGGCGCAAGGCCTTATATATTACATCGGGATCATGGGACATTTTGGAATTTAGTGAACTTAAATTTAATTCTTTCTCAATATTCCTTAAATTATCTAAATCTATATTTCGGCGAGACTGTCGAAAACCAGCCTCGCTAGGCCCCCTATTCTTTGGGTGAAAAATTTTGGACAATAAGGATAAAATTTATAGAATAAAAGGAAAGCAACACAAAAAGAAAGTTTTGCGTACTTACAATATCATTCCGGCTTCTTCCGCGTATCGATTTTCAGATACTCGTCCCCGGTGCTGCTGCCACGTGGTTCGGATACTAGATTAAGGCTTGAGAGCCAAATCAGCGTCTTTCAGCGCCAACCGAAATCTACCGATCTTTGGAGATTTTAACGCCGCGTACTGACTCTAATATCCTACCGACTGCGCCAATTACGTTAGCTGCAGCCGCAGGACTTAAAAAAAACCAATTCTTAAAATATAAATTTATTAAAGAAAGATTACAATACTATTATAACTAAAACTAAAATGATTAACTTGTTTGAAGTGTGACCTAAGAATGGAGAAATCCGATGCGAACTTGCAACGGGCGTCGGATTGTCGGCGCCTGCTGACTCGGCGCCTCGTGACACGCGGCTCCGTCGTGTGCACCTTTAAGTAGGTTACATGCTGGGCGATTTTCGTGTAGTAAAACTACGTAATTAAGGTAATAATAATAATAATAGTAATAATAATTTTTGTATTTAATTTATTTTATTGATATTTATGTATATATTTATCTTTTCATTTTCATTTATAATTATATATTTATAGATCCCAACCAGATGAGAAAACTATATAGATACCCCACAATAATAATAATAATAATAGGCGTAGGGAAGTGATGACCCCATCGCCCGCTGACGTAACAGTTATGTGACAAAACCGGTACGTCAGCGCAGTCAGTCAGCACCTTGCCGAGAGGTGTTAGTGCCATGCCTCGGCAAAAATTGAAGGTGCAAAGGCCCGCTTGTGCTCATGGCCTCACCATGAAACGGCACCGGGTCTGGGCGTCTCCCGCTAAATGACGCCCACCACTATGGATGATGGAATACGGAAGAACGCGCAAAGGGCCGCTGCCTGGAGGTCGCCAGGGCGCGTCTGGAGCTGGCGCTGGACGCGACAGCATGCGAACCGCCAGCCGAGCGCGAGGTGCTGCACGACCACCCAGCAGCCCCTCGCATCCATCATCCCCACCAGCTGGTTTGGTGTCGGCAGGGTCTTTGCGGGCCCAGCAATCGGCACCCGCCACTGGTGGAGTACACCGCATGCGTTGGACAACCCAGATGAACAGCAACGCATTGCGGGCGTATTTTAGGGCGAAAGGGGGAGAACCTGGAGGTTTTGCGTATCGGGCAAGGATGCATCGACTTTTTGCTGAGCTGGAGCCATCTGTAACCGTCACCGAGCAAAACCTGGCAGACCGAGTTCGGTATATCTTGCGCTCAAATACATTTGATGTCACCGAACTCGAACGGCTACGACGTGAGGCTGTTCCTTCATCGGGTGAAAATGCTGCGGCTGAGGATGCGGCGCCACAACTTGCTGAGCAAACGGCAAATGTGGATGCCGCCGTGAATACGCCAGTTGTGGTTGATTCAAACGATGATGGAACAGTCGCCCAGGAACCGGAACTAAAGCAAATGAGGAGTACATTGGAGGAGGTGATTGTGGAAACGCGCAGTACGCCTCTCGAAAATCGACCGCGACTTCCCCGCTTAGCCCTAAGCAAGCGGAATCGGGCTGTCCTGAGGGCTCTGAACTCAATGCTGGTTACCTATTTGGAAGCCAGCCGGGACCTTTGCGAGACGGACTCAACGGACTTTTTGGCGCCGCACTGGCAGTCTGCCGTATTATAGGCGCTAAACTTTCCACGGCTGGACGCGCTACTGGACAAAGTAGTGCTATCCCAGCCTGGAGAATAAGAATTGAAGAACGTATCGCAAAGGCTAGGGCCCTCATCGGCAGACTGATATGCTTCAGGTCAGGCAATACCAGGCCAAGGATTGTGCGCACCGTCAGGATGGCGTTTGCTGGGACAAATGTTAGTTTGTCCCAGCCGGATATAATGCAAAAACTGACGGAGCGTATAGACGACCTGAAGCAAAGAATAGCTGCTTGGGGAAAGCGGATTCGGCGATATACCGAGAGGTCGACACGGTTCAACCAGAATCGTCTCTTCCAGAGTGATCAGAAGAGGCTCTATGCATCATTGGAGCGACCAATAGTAAGTGGAACGGGCCCAGCACCTAATCAGGCCGACACTGTAGCATTCTGGCGCGGCCTATGGTCAGAGCCCGTAAACCACAGCGAGGGCCCTTGGACGGAAGTTGAGGCGAGTCAGTGTACCGGTATTACGCCCATGGACCCCATCATCATAGCACCGGATGACGTAGCTGAGGCGGTCCGTAGGGCCCCGAACCGGAAAAGTCCGGGGCTTGACGGGCTGCATCACTACTGGCTGAAGGGGTTCATGGTATGTCACCCTGTGCTCGCTCGACAGTTTCAAGAGGCTCTCAACCAGAAGTCGCTCCCAAGCCTCTTCACTACTGGGATCACTCATTTGGTTCCTAAAGATCAGGGTGCCACAGACCCGAGCAAATACCGCCCCATCACGTGTCTACCGACTATATACAAGACACTAACATCCATTTTGAGCGCGAGAAGCGCTCGTCACCTGGACTCAAATCAGGTGATGTCGCGCGCTCAAAATGGATGTCGGGCGGCGGTCGTGGAACTAAGGAACCACTCCTCATTGACGCAGTCATTAGCAAAGCGGCGAAACGCAACCGTCGGAACTTCTCCGCCGCTTGGATAGATTACAGAAAGGCATTTGACTCGGTTCCCCATACATGGCTAAAGAGGGTCCTCGAGCTGTACAAGATTGACTGTACAGTTCGAGACTTCCTCGAGCAGTGTATGGGGCAGTGGAGTACGATCCTCTGTCATCTAGGCGAGCGGATGACGGCTGCGGAAAGCCGCATAAGGATAAGAAGGGGTATATTCCAGGGCGACTGTCTGAGTCCAATCTGGTTCTGCCTCTCTTTGAACCCTCTCAGTACTTTACTGGAGGGCTCCGGGAGGGGATTTCAGGTTCGGAAAGGCGGTACAAAAGTGACCCACCTTTTCTATATGGATGATCTCAAATTATTCGCCTCCAGTCGCTGCCATCTTATGGAATTGCTAAACATCACTTGTGAATTTAGCAATTCTATTAGAATGGAGCTGGGGACGGATAAGTGTGCGGTCCTCCATGTTGAAAGGGGAAGGGTCGCTAACTCTGAGGGCATAGACTTATCTATGCCCGTCAACTTAAGGGCCCTTTCCGAGGCTGAAACATACCGATACCTGGGTATGTCACAGAACATCGGTATCGATGAGGCTGGTATGAAACAGTCAGTTTGCGACGTGTTTTATGCACGCTTGACCAAAGTGCTTAACAGCCTTTTTGTCCGGTGTGAATAAGACACATGCATATAACGGTTGGGTCATGCCTGTCCTCATGTATACCTTTGGCATACTCAGGTGGAGTCAGACTGAACTTAACGCCCTGGATAGAAAAGTCCGCACTACAAAGACGTCCCATAGGATGCATCATCCGAGATCGTCGGTAATGAGGCTGTACTTGCCGCGAAAGCATGGTGGGCGTGGCTTCCTGAGCGCGCTCACCATGCATAATCGCGAAGTGTGCAGCCTCCGTCATTACTTTCTGGCGAGATCGGATGATCCATTCTATAATGACGTTATTTCTAGTGATAAAGGATTTACCTCTCTATCCTTAGCCAACGAGCAATGGCAAGACCCGGCAGTACAGAGCATTTCCGACCGGGAGACCGTATGAAAGGAGAAGGAGCTCCATGGGAGGTACTACAGGGCTCTACATAAGCCTCAGGTAGATACAGCCGCCTCCCTCAACTGGCTACGTTTCGGTGACCTTTTCGGGGGAAACCGAGGGTTTTGTCTGTGCAATACAGGATCAGGTTATTAAGACCAACAACTATCGGAGATACATCCTAAAGGATGGCACTGTCGACGTCTGTCGAGCTTGTCGCCATCCCGGGGAGTCACTTAGGCATGTCATCTCCGGTTGTTCGGCGCTTTCTAACTCTGAGTACTTGCACAGGCACAACCTAGTAGCCAGAATTCTACACCAGGAGCTCGCTCTGAAATACGGTCTCGTGGACCGGAAATTGCCGTCTGGTCTCCCCTGCCGAGGGCTCCCATCTGGTTGGATCTTATTTATTTATGTAGTTTTTGTATTTATTTTATTTTATTGATATTTATGTACATTTATCTTTTCATTTTAATTTATAATTATATATTTATAGAACCCAAACAGGTGAGAAAATTATATAGATACCCCAATAATAATAATAATAAGTGGTTGGTAATTTCAAAGTACCAACCACTTGCTGAAGAGGTAAAGCAGATGAGGCGGCAGAATGAAGTAATTATAATTCCGCTTATACTCTCAACTACGGGTATTATACCAAAACAGCTAAGTAGCAACCTTGACAAATTGGGCTTAGCAAGAGCTGTGCTCGATAAAATTCAAAAGACTGTCATCTTGAGGACAACTGCCATTGTGAGGAGACATTTATCCTTGTAACCAAATAATTTCCTTAACATTTTGCCGTTAAGGCAGTTTTAGGGATATCACCCCATAAAGAGGAGTAACCAATAAAAAAAAAAATAATAAAATGGCGTAGGGAATTGACGACCCTATCGCCCGCTGACGTAACAGTTAAGTGACAAAACTGCTACGTCAACGCAGTCAGTCAGCGCCTTGCGAGAGGTGTGAGCGCCGTGCCTCGGCAGAATTTAGGGTGCAAAGGCCCGTTTGTGCTTATGGCCACACACGATACGGTGCCGGACCTGGGCGTCTCCCGTTAATGGACGCCCAAATAATGGATGATAGATAAGAAGATAGTGCGCAAAGGGCCGCTGCCTGGGGGTGCCGGAGCGCGTCTGGAGCTGGCGCTGGACGCGGCAGCATGCGGGTCGCCAGCCGAGTGCGAGGAGCTGCACGGTCACCTAGCAGCCCTCCGCATCCATCATCCCCACCAGAAGGCTTGGTGTCGGCTGGGTCTTCTCGGACTCAGCAAACGGCACCCGCCGCTGGTGGAGCACGTCGCATGCGTTGGTCACAAGCAATGAATACAAACGCACTGCGGGCGTACTTTAGGGCAAAAGGGGAAGAAACTGGATGTTTCGCGTACCGGGCTAGGATGCATCGTCTTTTTGCTGAGCTGGAGCCATCTTTAACCGTCACAGAGCAAAACCTGGCAGACCGAGTTCGGTATATCTTGCGCTCAAATATATTTGATGTCGCCGAACTCGAACGGCTACGACGTGAGGCTGTTCCCTCATCGGATGAAAATGGCTGAGGATGCAGCGCTACAAATGATAGAGCAACCCGCAAACGTGGATGCCGCCGTGAATACCCCAGTTGTGGTTGATTCAAACGACGATGGAACAGTCGCCCAGGAACTGGAATTAGAGCATACAAGGAGTACATTGGAAGAGGCGATTGTGGAAACGCGCAGTACGCCTCTCGAAAATCGACCGCGACTTCCCCCGCATAGCCCTAAGCAAGCGGAATCGGGCTGTCCTGAGGGCTCTGAACCCAATGCTGGTGACCTATTTGGAAGCCAGCCGGCATCTTTACGAGACGGACTCAATTCTTTTTGGCGCCACGCTGGCAGTCTGCCGTATCATAGGCGCCAAGGTTTCCACGGCTGGACGCGCTGCTGACCATAGTAGCGCTATCCCAGCATGGAGAAGAAGAATTGAGGAACGTATCGCAAAGGCTAGAGCTCTCATCGGCAGACTGATATGCTTCAGATCAGGCAATAACAGGCCAAGAATTGTGCGCACCGTCAGGATGGCGTTTGCTGGGACAAATGTCAGTTTGTCCCAGCCGGATATAACGCAAAAACTGACGGAGCGCATAGATGATCTGAAGCAAAGAATCGCTGCTTGGGGAAAGCGGATTCGGCGATATACCGAGAGGTCGACACGGTTCAACCAGAATCGTCTCTTCCAGAGTGATCAGAAGAGGCTCTATGCATCATTGGAGCGACCAATAGTAAGTGGAACGGGCCCAGCACCTAATCAGGCCGACACTGTAGCATTCTGGCGCGGCCTATGGTCAGAGCCCGTAAACCACAGCGAGGGCCCTTGGACGGAAGTTGAGGCGAGTCAGTGTGCCGGTATTACGCCCATGGACCCCATCATCATAGCACCGGATGACGTAGCTGAGGCGGTCCGTAGGGCCCCGAACTGGAAAAGTCCGGGCCTTGACGGGCTGCATCACTACTGGCTGAAGGGGTTCATGGTGTGTCACTCTGTGCTCGCCCGACAGTTTCAAGAGGCTCTCAACCAGAAGTCGCTCCCAAGCCTCTTCACTACTGGGATCACTCATTTGGTTCCTAAAGTCCAGGTTACCACAGACCCGAGCAAATACTGCCTCATCACGTGTCTATATACAAGACACTAACATCCATTTTGAGCGCGAGAATCACTCGTCACCTGGACTCAAATCAGGTGATGTCGCGCGCTCAAAATGGACGTCGGGGCGGTGGTCATGGAACCAAGGAACCACTCCTCATTCACGCGGTCATTGGCAAAGTGGTGAAACGCAACCGTCGGAACTTCTCCGCCGCCTTGATAGACTACAGAAAGGCATTCGACTCGGTGCCCCATACATGTCTAAAGAGAGTCCTCGAGCTGTACAAAATAGACTGTACAGTTAGAGACTTCCTCGAGCAGTGTATGGGGCAGTGGAGTATGATCCTTTGTCATCTGGGCGAGCGGAGGATGGCTGCCGAGAACCACATAAGGATAAGAAGGGGTATCTTCCAGGGCGATTGTCTGAGTCCAATCTGGTTCTGCCTCTCTCTGAACCCTCTCAGTACCTTACTGGAGGGCTCCGGGAGGGGATTTCAGCTACGGAAAGGAGGGACAAAAGTGACCCACCTTTTCTATATGGACGACCTCAAGTTATTCGCCTCCAGTCGCTTCCATCTTACGGAATTGCTAAACATCACTTGTGAATTTAGCAATTCCATTGGAATGGGACTGGGGACGGATTAGTGTGCGGTCCTCCATGTTGAAAGGGGAAGGGTTGCTAACTCTGAGGGCATAGACTTATCTATGCCCGTCAAATTAAGAACCCTTTCCGAGGCTGAAACATATCGATACCTGGGTATGTCACAAAACATCGGTATCGATGAGACTGGTATGAAACAGTCAGTTTGCGACGTGTTTTATGCACGCTTGACCAAAGTGCTTAACAGCCTTTTGTCCGGTGTGAGCAGGGTGATTTTGAAAACAATAAAATAATTATTATAAAAAAGAATTATGGTGAAAGACTGCAATAAAAATTATAAAAAGTTCTTTAAAATTTACCCCCTAGCTTATAGTGGCGCCACCTTTATTTAGCGCTTTCCTACGGACACTTTTTTTATAGAGTTGGTTCTCCTTACCTCTATACTCCATAGTTCTGTGACAACAATCTTAAAATCATAGAACATACACGGCTAGCGTTGCCAGGCGTCTGGATAAAGCCGGACACAGTCAGGCTTTTTGGTTACGTGTCCGGCCAAATTAGACGGTGTCCGGCTCGTCTGACTTTTGTTAGGCTTTTTAAAGGAGACAATCGTTTTTGGGCCAAATAGATATTTTAACGTAACTTAACTCACAAAAAAAATACCAATTTACTATAGTAAATTGGCTAAAGATTTTATAAAAATCTAACCGGTATGATGATAAATACAATTAAGAATCACTGCCTACATATAAATCACCGCAGTCTGTTTATTCGTGTAGTAGTTCTGAAGAATCCACCTAGTATTTAATATTTTGAAGAACCTATGACTTTTTTATACTTTTTATTATTAACACTACACTATTATAACATAAAATATCGATAAAAACTACTAAAGTCGCACATATAAGTTTTAGGATATAATTCATTCATTTCTCAGTATTACCGTAAGATATTTTAAGTTACGCCAAAACGCTGGAGTTTGCGTTTACGTCAGACATCCGTCTGTTTTCGATGCCTCGGCAGTCTTGAAGGTTCGGACCTGTCCATAATTTGGCTACGCGTAGACAGCGACGATCATCCGCATGTCTACGGGTGACTCTATAGTTCCCATAGCGGTAATGCTGAAACAGACGGAGTCTTCGACCACGTCCAAATGGCTACATATTCGTTGCTACAGCAGATCCCTTCCGCAGAGATCGTGATTCTCGGCGATTTTAACGCCCATCAGGCCAAATGGCTTGGTTCACGTTTAACCAATCATGCGGAGAGATCAGTTCATGATTTTGCCTTTGCATATGGTCTGACACAACTGGTTACTTCGCCCACGCGGATTCCTGATGTGGAGGATCATGCAGCTTCCCTGTTGGACCTTCTGCAGACCTCTCACTCGGACGGATATCAGATTTACGTCGACGCCCCTTTAGGGTCTTCTCACTCACGCTGAAATCGCAGTGCATTCTGCATGCTGCCGCCGTATTTGGCACTATAGGTTAGCCGATTGGGATAGGATGCGGTCTTTCTTTGCACCCTACCCTTGGGGGCGAGTTTGCTTCTCGCTGGACGATCCCAACGTTGTTGCGGATTCTGTCCCTGATGTTGTTCAGGGTATGGAACTTTTTATTCCTTCCTCTGTGGTGCCCATCGGAGGCAAATCTCAGCCGTGGTTTGGTCGCTCCAATAAAATAGCATCGTGATATAAGCAGAAATGCTACCAAGCCTGGGATTACACATCAACGTCCCGGGATGTAAACACCAGCGCTCTAAAAAAGAAGTATAATTCCGCCTCCAGGTCCTTCAAAAAAGTCATTGCCAAGGCAAAGTCAGAGCACATAGGCAGAATTGGCGAGAAACTAGTTCACCTTCCTTCGGGAACCCGTGCATTCTGGTCTCTCGCCAAGGCTGTCCAGGGGAATTTCTGTCAGCCATCTCTTCCACCTCTGCATAGGGAGGACGACTCACTGATCCATACCGCAAAGGAGAAATCCAATCTGCTAGGCTCTTTCTTTGTGTCCAACTTGACTCTCGATGACGGAGAGAGTACGCCGCCGACCAATTTGCGGTGTGAGTGCTCCATTAGCGGTTCACACAGTGCTCTGTTCGCAAAGCACTCCTATCCCTGGACATCCACAAGTCGAATAGGCCTGACGGAATCCCCCCAATTGTGCTGAGGACGTGTGCTCCAGAGTTGGCACCGGTTTTAACGCATCTTTTTCGGTACTCCTACTCCCTAAGCGTAGTCCTATAACCATGGAAGACGGTTTTCGTCTTTTCGTCCCTAAAAAAGTGACCGCTCAGACCCGTCCAACTACCGGCCTATCGCCATCACCTCCTTGTTCTCCAAAACAATACAATGGAGTCCATTGTAAATTGCCAGCTCATGAGGTACCTTGAGGATCACCAGCTGTTTAGTGATCGCCAATACGGATTTCGTCGTGGTCGATCAGCTGGTGATCTCCTGGTCTACCTAACTCGTAAATGGGTGGAGGCAGTAGAATCCAAGTCCAAGGCAGGGAGGCATTGGCCGTTAGTTTGGACATTGGGAAGGCCTTCGATCGGGTTTGGCACAAAGTGCTTCTTTCGAAGCTCCCTTCCTTTGGCTTTCCGAGAAATTGTGCAATTGGATCACCAGCTTTCTTGCAGATCGGAGCATCAAGGTCGTTTTAGACGGTGCAAGCTCCGATTACAAGCCTATTAATGCTGATGTTCCACAAGGCTGCGTGCTATTAGCAACGCTGTATCTTCTGCATATTAATGATATGTTGCAAACCCGTAACATTCATTGCTATGCAGATGACAGCACTGGTGATGCGCTCTGTACACCGGCCATGCTAATATTTCTCGGGAAAACATCTCCGAGTACCGGGACTAACTTGTGTCTGAAGTCGAGTCTTTGTTGAACAAAGTCTCGGTTTGGGGGCGACTAAATCTAGTCCAGTTTAATCCTCAGAAGATACAAGTTTGCACGTTAACCGCTAAAAAGAACCCCTTTGTCGTATCTCCTCAGTTTCAAGGCACTCCCCTTGTTGCCTCATCCAGTATCGGAATCCTCGGCGACTACATATCGAGTGACGTGCAGTTTCGTGGTCACTTGGAAGAGAAGGCCAATTTGGCCTCTAAAAAGCATGGGGTGCTCAGCAGAGCGGGACAGTATTTCATACCGGCACACCGCCTGCAAATTTATAAGACGCAGATTTTACCGTACATGGAATACTGTTCCCGTCTTTGGGCTGGGGCTCTCCAGTGCCGGCTCGATCCACTTAACCGCATCCAGCGCATAGTGGCTCGAATCGTCAACGACCGAGTACTTTCGGATTGGCTCGATTCACTGGCGCTTCCATCTCTTTGCATTTTCTTTCGTATATACCACGGGGAGTGCTCTGAGGAATTGTTCGGATTAATCCCAGCCGCCAAATTTCGTGAATGCACTACGCGGCAAACGTCCCGATACCATCCACATCATCTGGATGTCTGCGGTCCACCACTGTACGTTTCAAAAGGAGTTTTCTTCCGCGTACGACCTCTCTGTGGAATAGTTTACCACCGGCGATTTCACCTAGGGACCTTCAAGAAAAGAGCTTAATTCTTTCTAAAGGGCCGGCAACGCACCTGCAATTCCCTGGTGTTGCGGTTGATCATGGACGGCGGTAGTCACTTAACATCAGGTGAGCCGCATGCTCGTTTGCCCCCCCTTCCATAAAAAAAATTTGTGGTGGGCCCATTCTCCATACAAAAAGAAATTGTCTTTTTCACGTACTTATATACATAATATTGCAATTATTTAAATTAATATTTTAATGAATATTGATTGATTAATTGACTAATTATAAAGAAGACTGATTTATTCAATTTTATTGTTATTTCATTAAAATTTGAGAATATTTTATGGCAAATAATAAAAGGTATTGTTTTACTTGAAAAAAAAAAAGTCTTGTTATACTAAGACTAAAAAATTAAGGATCTAAATTAAGGAGCCTTTTTACCAAAATGTCCGGCTAAGCTCGTGGGTCTGGCCGGCTTTTCGGTCTTAAGACCTGGCAACCCTACACATGGCAATCTCCATTCTCAACCAATATTATCTATTCGTCCACAGTGTTGCCAATTTGACGGGTTTCCCGTTAGATTTGACGGGACAGCGAGGTTGCCAACGGGAAAAAATTGTGTTTAACGGCTAACGGATTTTTTAATTTTTTAACAAAAAATTGGAAATGGCGAAAATTAAATTATAACTTTATTCATTTTTTTAGTTTAAAATTACGAAAAAATGTGCAATACATTCTTATCTTTAAAAAGTTGAGAGACTAAATTTTCATTTGACGTAATTCTTTCAAATACAGCTCGGAAACTGTTTTGTCGTTGGTCGGTCAAAATGATGCGCTACTGTTGAATATATAGAAAAGTATCAACTACTCTATTTATTTCATTCTCTCTCTTTACTGTTTGAGTCGCAT